TACCATAAGTGAGCCTCGAGGGGGACACAACCCACCAGGGCACGCCTGGAGGCCCAGGCGCGCCCAGATGGGTTGTGCCCACCTCAGTGGCCTACTGCACCGTCTCTTCGCCCTATAAATAACCAAATAATCCAGAAACCCTAGGATGGTCGACGAAACACAATTCCAGCCGCCGCAAGTTCCAGAACCACGAGATCCAATCTAGACACCATCACAGAGGGGTTCATCATCCTCATTGGTGCCTGTCGGATGATGTGTGAGTAGTTCATCATAGACCTACGGGTCCGTAGGCAGTAGCTAGATGGTTTATTCTCTCTCTTTTGATTCTCAATACAATGGTCTCTTGGAGATCTATTTGATGTAACTCCTTTTGCCATGTGTTTGTTGGGATCCGATGAACTTTGAGTTTATGATCAAATCTATATCCATGAATATTATTTGAGTCTTCTTTTGATCTCTTATATGCATGATTCTTTGTAGCCTCGTATTTCTTCTTCGAATATTTGGTTTAGTTAGGCCAACTAGATCAATTTTTCTTGCCATGGGAAGAGGTGCTTTGTGATGGGTTCAATCGTGCAGTGTTCTTTCCCAGTGACAGAAGGGGCAGCAAGACACGCATGTATCGTTGCTATTAAGGATAACAAGAGGGGGTCTATTCCTACATGAATAGGTCTCATCTACATCATGTCATCATTCTTATTGCATTACTCTGTTTCTCCATGAACTTAATACACTAAATGCATGCTAGATAGCGGTCGATGTGTGGAGTAATAGTAGTAGATGCAGGCAGGAGTCGGTCTACTAATCTTGGACGTGATGCCTATATATTGATCATTGCCTGGATATCATCATAACTATTCGATTTTCTATCAATTGCCCAACAGTAATTTGTTTACCCATCGTGTGCTATTTCTTGAGAGAAGCCACTAGTGAAATCTACGGCCCCCGGGTCTATTCTTCATTGTATTTGCTTTGAAATCTATTTTTATTCGCTTTTATTTTCAGATCTATTATTTCAAAAACCCAAAAATACTTGCTACACATTTTATTTGCATCTTTTATTTCGCATTTTATCAAGATCTATCTATCCAATCTACCACAAATTTTATCCCGTCAACTTGATAATTTCTAGCGCCGTTACCCGAAGAGGGATTGACAACCCCTCATACGCGTCGGGTTGCAACTATTTATTCTTTGTGTGCAGGTACCGTTTACATAGTGTTGCTTGGTTCTCCTACTGGATTGATACCTTGGTTTCACAACTAAGGGAAATACCTACCGTAGTTGTACTGTATCATCCCTTCCTCTTTGGGAAAATGCCGATGCAGTTTCAAGCGACATCATGCAATCATAGGTAACCTGCATAAGAGAAGTACTTTTTTCGTTAAAAACCTTATCATTTTTACTTAGCCAAAATGATCAAATAATGGCAAGAGCTCCCACCCTGAGAAGAATTCTAAACCTGTAATCAATTTCATATAACCAGTCGCCGAATATATTAGCAACACTACATGGAGGGTACTAGTCAGAAGCTACTTGGATGGCAACCATATAGAACGGGCCAATTTGCATTTGGAAAACAAGTGTTTTATTGTTTCGTCGTGATGACAGAACATATATTACGTATTTCCATGCAAATTCCTCTTAATAAGGTTATCTTTAGTAAGAATGACTCCTCGATGAAGATACCATGCAAATGTTTTATTTTTAACCGGTATGTTTGTCTTCCAAATCTTCTTATCATTATCAACTAGCACATTTGACTGGATCATAACACTATACATGGAGTTCACCATGAATTTACCATTCACTTGTAGGCTCCAAAGAAATTCATTGGCGCCTTGTGACAGTTGTACCATGGATAGTCTTAGTAATAGAGTGTTCCACGATGCAAGTTTGGGACCAATTAAATCTCTTCTGAACATCACATTCGGCGGAAAGGATTCCAGAACTATTGCAATTGTATCACCCTTGTGACACACAATATTGTATAGAGCGGATATTGTTCTCGGAGTGTAGCATTGCCTAGCCAGTTATCCTCCCAGAATCTAATTTCCGATCCATCTTTAAGAGTGAAGGATGCATAGGGAAGAAGTATTTCTTCATAGCTATTAGACCAGCCCAAAAGTGCGAGTCACTATGCTTCCAATATACTTTGGACGTTGCTTTTGAGCCTACATATTTTCTCGCGATGAGGGTTTGCCGTACACCATTTTCTGTCAGTAACTTAAACAACCATTTGCCGAGGAGAGCAATATTCTTAACCTCAAGATCATGAATTCCCATCCCTCCTTTGTCTTTGGGACGACAAACCACACTCCATTGAGCCAGACAATACTTCTTTTTCTCACTATATTCTTGCCAAAAGAATCTTGATCAGAAATAATCCAATCTATTTAAGACTCCTATAGGCGGTTGGAAGAAGGAAATCATGTAGAGTACTATATTACTTAGCACTGAATTTATGAGTACCGATCTTCCACCGAGAGATAACACTTTACCTTTCCAATCGCTTAATCATTTTTGTAGTCTTTTCTAGACGTGTTTCCATTCAGCATTTGTGAGTCTCCGATAATGCATCGGTAGCCCCAAATAACTGATCGCAAACAGGCCTAAACTACAACCAAACAGTTTAGCGTATAGGTGGGCCTCGTCTTAGGCTTCACCAAAACAGAATAATTCACTTTTATGGAAGTTTATCTTAAAACCTGTGAGGTGCTCGAATAATAATAAAATTAATTTCAGGTTGTTCGTTTTCTTTAGGTCATGATCCGTAAAGAGAATCGTATATATATATATATTTTTGTTTTTAACTTGTTCTCTTTCTTTAGCAACATATGTGTTTTTGTGGGAGGAGAGCAAACTTCATCATTGTAATAAGTTTCTAATGGGACAAGACACTTAAAACCACTTTTATTGACACATAAGATTCTAAAATGCTACGCATATGCATGAAGAAAAAAATTCAATCATATCCGTATAATTTTATCAATATAGACATCCATATTCTCCACCATCACCCACATCAAATTAAGCCAATCTACCTCGCTAGCTCGATCCATATCATCGATCCATACGTATCTCATATCCATGTCAAGAAGATTAATTACCATAATCTACCTTCATATATATCATCGATCCATAATCTAGTTAATTTAAACTCATCTATCTACACTATAGCATTCAAACTAACCTAAAACCAGAATCCATTGCGAAGATCATCATATGCCCATGAAATTTCCAAACTTACCAAAATATGACAAAACTTAATAGGAAAAAATGAGATGAATGGAGGAGCTCACCTTCGGCCGGTGGGGTTTTCTCGGTCGCCGGCGTCAAGGTGCTACAGGTGCAGGCAGGGTCGGCGTCGGGTTTGGTGGTGGAGGAGTCGCCGTCATCGAGGTGGCGGAGAGGAGACATCGCAGTTGTAGGATTCAAGATCTTGGGCGCGATCGACCTCAAGTGAGGTGGGGAGGCGGGGTAGATGATGACGAGCTTGGCGGCAGTGTTGTGGTGTGGGGAGGGGAAGTGTGCTGTGCATGATATAACTGGCTGGTTGGGCTGTGGGCGGCATATTTATTCAATGTAAGCCAAGTGCATTTCATCGTCCACTCGACTTTCATGAGACAACACGTTTTCGGGGTTTTTAAAAAGAAAATGTATTATATACACCATGAGGTCCATTAGGCAACACTCGTCTTATATGGACCACTGTCACGAGCGGCGAGAACAATCACTGGCACGGTTCCTCGTCGTTTGGGTCGTAAAGCCTAGCATTTTTGCTATTATACAATGAATTTTTTCTATACGTCGTGTGTTTTTAGGTGTGTCACAACATACGGGGTGATAAGCCGAGGGCCCGTTCGTTGCCGTGTGCTTGACACCAACACACGGCTTAAGGCGCTATAAGAGGTCAGCAAAATACACTCCGCTTACCAAGAAACACATGGCAAAATATGTGTTTCCTATTGTGTCTCTATCATTTTTTTCTTTGAAAAGGAGATTGAAACCCCCGGTCCTTGTATCAAGAGATGCACACAACCATCTTAAATAAATTATTTAACAAAGGTATGATAAGAACATACATCAAACAATTCAAAGTCACCCCCCACACCTACAAACACGACAATGGAGAATGCCATCACGCCCCAGCATCTAGAACCGGGGTCACTGCCGATCCACCCGCATGATGTACGGCATACACCCGCTGCTGCAGGCCCAAAGCATACACCGCATGCACACGCTTCAGAAGCCCCCACCACCATCGAACCGCTGACCCATCTCCAGAAAAGATATCCGCAATATCTTTGCCAAGCCAGTCAGCCATCGACGCTGCCACGGCGCCAAACAATGCCACTGCCCTGCACCTGTCCATCAAGACGCATCTGTAGCCAAGTCTCCGCTGCACCATGCAGCTTCACCTCCTGACGACTCAACCAAGTATCTGCTCCGAAACGATGTCCTAATGAGGGAAGATGAGACCAAAAGCGTCGCCATCGTCCGACCCAGGAGACTCAGATCAAGGGTTTCCCCTCGGAACAGCCCCAACGAGGAGATGATGACTGCAGTAATGATGTCTTCAATTTTTGTTTTATGAAGTAATACTATCTCTTTATCAACTTTGGTAAAGACAACGGTCGTGGAACAAATGAAGAAATATAGGTCCGAAATTTCCCCAACAATTTTCATATTTCTTATGTTAATTACATACTTATTGGAAAGCTGCTCCGGATGCAAAGTAATTAAGGCCACACTCATGGTAAATTTCACAGATCATCACCACACAAAAGAAGAAAAGGAGATGTGACATAGTGGAAATGAAATCAAGAAGAGTCCAGGAGGAAGAAACACCAAGGGCCACAGCTGCCACTACAGAGCATCGCCTCCCCACCCGCTCCTAGCCTCCTACCGTTCTCCTATAAACACACTCTTCTCCCTCATTTGCCTTCCTCATCTCTCACTCTATCCATCCCATCTCTCTCCGCCCACGAAACACAAACATGCAGATACTCAACGAGCAGCTGGCTGCACCATCCACAGGCCTAATGGTAATTGCTTCTTGCTCTGAAACTAGCTTCTTCTTTAAGCATCCGTTTTCCTAAAGATTAAGATTTGGATGCACATGTAACGGGTAGTAGCTAGAATAAAATCATGGCTACTACTGGGTGGGGAAATAGTAGATACGCAAGAAGAGGGAGAGATTCGGCTAGGGGCAGTGGTGCTTACTCTCTAAGAAAGCCGCAGAGAGAAAGGCACCACCAAGGAGAGGAGATGGATCACAGCCTCTCCTTTTCTTCCTATCTCCAAAGAAGGGTCCAAGAAGTAGCAGCTCAAGAGAATCGGGTATATTTACAGCCCAGCCAGAGATACAACCCGTCGGTTTTGGTTATGTAGATCCATCTGTTCTCCCATTGATGATACAACTTTTGGTCCGTGTCACTGAAATTTTGCGTTGCTGATCCAAGGTGAAGGAGTCTGCGTCCCCGGGGTCGGGGTCGGGATCGGCAGGGGGGGCTGCTGAGAAGATGGGGAGAGGGAGGATCGAGATCAAGCGCATCGAGAACACCACGAACCGGCAGGTCACCTTCTGCAAGCGCCGCAACGGCCTCCTGAAGAAGGCGTACGAGCTCTCGGTGCTCTGCGACGCCGAGGTGGCGCTCATCGTCTTCTCCGGCCGCGGGCGCCTCTACGAGTACTCCAACAACAGGTGCTCGCCGCTCTCTTGAATTATTTTCTGCACAGACGGACGCATACATGGCATATGCTCATGTGATCTTGCCCAAATTGGAGCTGTTTTCCTTCTATCCTTTCGTCTTGGCAAAAGGGGGGGAAAGGGGAGCTGCATCTTTCTTGCTATACTCGTTCCGTTGATTAACTGTCTTGTTTATTTCCGTGCTTCTGGGGGCTGAAGCGGGGGTGAAAGAAATTCCAGCAGTTTCTTTGTGTGCGCTCGCGCCGTATAGCTTGCATCTGTGTGCTAGCTTGTGCTGATGTGTTTTTCGTTGCTGCTTTCGTTAGTGGTTCCGTGAGGTGAGCTAGATGTCTGCGTAGATTCAGCACAGTGCATGCCTTGTGAAGCATGTGTACATGCTTTCTCAGCTCTTCTTGTGTGTATGGAATGGGTGTCTGGGTTTGCTTGGGGCTGGTGGTCCTCTTCTTTTCTTGCTCAATTTATGTTCTTTCCTTTCTCTCCCTCCCTCTCTCTCTGTATGGGACGAAGGGGAGGGGATAGGAAGAAGGTAAGAGCCTTAGATCCCTCACACCTCATCATGATACATAATCGATCGATAGAGGGTGGCAGAAACATGTATATGTAATCACACAAAAAATTACAAGTTATTATCTGTTTCTCACCGCCTATTCTATTTTCCCACCTGTATGGCATAGCTTAATTACCGTGTACGTAGGTGCAGATCTACTAGCTAGCAACTTTTTTTCTCCCTGGGCTTGGTATATCTGCAGTAACTCCGTAACTGCTGCATACAAGATCATCTGTGTGTATGTGTCACACACACAGATGTAAGCCACGATATCATCAAGCTTCTTTTGCATCATCGCCTTCTGTTCCCCGCCAATGATGGGTTAGGGTTAGGGTTCCGTCACATGTGCCCCCATCTCCCTCTCTCTCTCTCTCTCTCTCTCCGCGCGCTGTAGATGTTACTGTTGCCTGTGCGTGTGGTGCTGGTGGCAGCGACGCCTCTCTCCTCATTAGGGCCATGTGTGGTGTCCTCTTGTTAAGCCAAGGCTCATCACGCCAGTTCTGGGCCCCTAGCTAGCTTCTGGCAGCAGCACTGTACTTTCATGACCCGCCAATACAGTGAAGGCACAGCACCGTAGCAGTAAAGAAGAAAATAATGTACTGTAGTAACCTTTCTTTTTCCTCTACTTTTGGGGCCGACTTTTTTTTTGCGGGAAACTTTTTTGTGCCGTTTCAGTGAGCTCCTCTGATTTCCATTAGCTGAAAAGGCCTGTCTATATGCAAAACTAAAATGTACGTAGTGGTATTTTTCCCATATGTGTCTAGCAGTTGCTGATTTGAAATAGAAGGGCAGCATCAAATAACAACATGGATAGCATGCCACTTTTTACACTTACTTTCTGTACATTTCGGTCTCTTTGTACACATATATAGTATATAACAATATCAAAACTTGAGAACTGCCCATGATACAAATGTTTGTGTTACAATTCGTGAACTTTTTGAAATGCAGACTTACTTGCGCTTGCGTATCTAAAAGGACAAGTAAAAAAATCCATATGATAATTAAAGGGGGCACCTTATTATGGATTTATTTTATTATTTGTTCAGTTAACAAAATTTTGAATACTAGCGTCATATATGTAAAGATGGACAGGGTAATTCTTCTTGAATATAAGAAATGAACCCAGATGAAGCATTTATGTGCGTGCGTGCATAAATTTGTGCTGCAATTTTTCATTTCACGCCCAAATGTATTTATTTATTTGAAAATCTTGGCTTTACCCGGACATATGTGTTCACTGTACTACACTGTCAAGCGACAACCTCTCTCCGGTGGTTTATGTGTGTCTACAGTGATGTGAAGGCTGCCCTGCGTACGGAGCCAATGGCTGTCACGGCGCGGTCAGAATCAAGCCGTACGTTGCATCGGGTACTACTGTACAACTGTACAACAGAGAGAGAGAGAGAGAGGATGGGTGAGCTCCATGGGTGGTCAGAAGGGACGGGTAAAAGCAGAGACCTTGGCTGCCGTGGTTCTCTCCTACGAATAAACACTGGGTAATAGGGCGTGTTCTCTGTGCCGCAGCGAATAGCATGCTGGACGATGCTAAGGTTCCGTCCAGCAGTGAGAGAAATCCGTGTCAACAGTGCGTGTCATAATGAACAGTGGCTTTGCATTATTATACGTGATGTGACATTCGTTCTCGTCGGTGTTCGATGGTGGCCGTAGCAGAGGTAGTGGTAACTATGGTCTTCCCTTTGAAGCATGCATTCTACTAGTACTATTTTTTGAGAAGTGAAGCATTCTTTTTTAATGTTGCTTTGGAGAGGAAATGTAGTGAGTTAGTGACATTACTCTTTGGTGGGGTTTTATTTTATGTGCGGGGTGGAATATATTGTTTCACAGTACTCGATTTTTTGGCTAATAACCTGTGCTCTGATTTTTCTTTAGCAATGAAGAATTTCCCAGTCTTATGTTTGACAGTGGTACATTGGTGGTATGTTAATGTATATATTGATGTGATAGTAAGTTAGATGTTCCATGTTAAATATGGTGACACATGTTTTTGCTTCAAAATTGTTTCTAAGCTCCAGTTTCTGATTCTTTACATCATATAAACATAAATTAGCAAAGGTAATTAATAAAATCACACAGTTCACTTTGACGACATCCTTTTGGTTCTTGCGTTACACTAGTGCATGCAATTTTCTTGGGAACTGATGGGATCATGGCGTGTGTAAAATCAGATTTAAATTTTTTCCCATAAATGCCGCGGGCGTAAACTTATGTGACCAAACTAAAGATGGATATCAAACACCACATATAGCTATATGGCTAGCTACTGACTATACTGATCAATACTATGAAATTGGCCGTTAGATTCAACAACATAAAATACAAGCACTTTTCGAAAAGAAAACATAAAATACAAACACAACTGGAATTCTCTTGAAGTCACATACTCACATGTAAAATATCCATGTCTGGACATTGTACACCTTGAAGGCCTCTTAATATTGGAAAGGAAGTCTTCGGTAAAGAGCGACCACACTGTAGTACAAGCTAGTTAGCTCGTGGAAAAGGCTAGTGATGGCACACATCTTTGCCCAGCATGACATATGATGTTTTTTCTACATCGACCTGATGGATTTCACATTGCTCTTGTTCAATACAACAGAGCAACTGTATATACATTGTCCTAAAAACTATGAGATACATCCAATTTATTTGGTCTATTTTTGGCAAGGGTCTATCTGGACTCTATTTTAGTAATGATGTGGTAAGTAACAAAGTCCGGTTTCTGAATCTTGACAACCAATATTTGAAGTATGCAATAATAGCACATTAATTTGATATAACTAATCTAATATCCCCCAAATCTACCACGTTATTATAAAAGTTGGTTATAAATTTTCTGAATCATTTAATGAGGTTTTTTCCCGAATAAATCGCTGTTAATTTCCGAAAAACAGAACTTTGATTTATTTTTTATTACTGTTGTTTCCAGTTAATGAAGTTAATTATTACTGTTAATTTGAGTATTATTTGTGTTGGTACGAACTAGAAAGTTCATATTTATGCTTGTACTAACTCCACTGGTGTGTACCCAAATTAATGCAGCGTGAAAGCAACCATTGAGAGATACAAGAAGGCAACAAGTGACACCTCCAGCGCTGGTACAGTCGCAGAGATCAATGCCCAGGTAACATCATATGTCACTCAACAAGTCAACATAAAATATTTCTAGACCCTAGCAACCCGGCCCCTAGGTTGCATGCAGTCTTAGTCCTACTACTAGGAACTTCACCCTGCTAGTCAACATTCCATCTAACTGTGCTCCAGCGTACAAAAGGATTCCTTTGAGCAAAATCTTCAGATTGGACATCCTGGTCATAGGGAACTTGTGGTCATTACACAAAGGAATGTCCGGTGATACTACTCTCAAGAGATCATGTTTAGACCAGCAGACCATATTTATATATGTAATTCTGTATGTGTGCAGTGGACACTTTCATGCATCATTCAGACGGGAGACGGGAGAGACAGTAACATGCAAACTGAGGTTTAGCAAATCAGAAATGCGCCCACATCTGTTTCTTTTGGGAAGAAAGAAATACGCTTATAATATATAAGTTCCTGGTTAATTTGTTGATCTGATTATATGGGTTAACCATTTCTCTGGTTTAGATTTGTTGAGATCAAGATTTAGTAGGCATAGGTATGTACGTGGTTCGTGTCAAGTAGCAACGATATTTAAATAGTTCCAGGAAAAACAGTTTTGGGCCATGCTTGCTAGTTTCACCTGAATAACATATATTTTCATGTGGGTTACATGTTAGACAGAAGGACCAATGATTCGTCTGAAATACCAACTTATAATTCATGTGCTTTTATGTATATATGCATATGACTACTTGTGCAGCCAGCCAGCCACCAGTAAATATTGTGGTATATCGCAAAAACTAGAGTAATGAAAGGGACCGTAGTGTGGAGTGAGTTAGTTTGTCTTCATGAGTTTATTTTCTCTAAACATAGCTTTCGTTTGGCTCAGTAAGTATTTTTGGAATTTCGTGGAATATTGTTTTTTTTTAAAACCATAGTTTGAAAAACTTTGCTGTGTTTGGCATCGATAAATACCACAGTTTTATAAACCGTAGTATCTCTAATACTGTAGTATTTCTGCAGTATTTTAAAAAGAGGTCTTGACCTCTTTTTTTCTGAACCAAACTGAGAAAACTATGGGTCTTAGAAACTGGATTATTCATTAATTGTCCAGACATTGAAATACTGAGGTTTTACATTACCACAGTTTTCAAAATACTAGTGTCTAGTGTCTGGATAAGAAGATTTACAAGGAGGTATGTTGCATGATGCTGTTCCACCCTTCATGGCGGAGCGTTGTGTCAATTGATTTATCTAAGTCGATGCGCTGCAAAAAATTGTCATTGTTTTCATAAATGTAGTTTTCAATAAAAATACTAAAATTATATTTAGAGAGTCTACCTTTTGAAAAAAATATTTAGAGAGTCTACCTTTACTTTACTTAAGTACGCCTAATAATGCATGGTTTTGATGCATGTGCATGCTATACAAATAGAATGCTGGAACCACGAAGAATGAGCACTGCTCTTCTCCTAATTTCACATATATATGAAACAAATATGCATGAGTGGAAACTCACATTCAGCAATTTGTGAATGAAATCATGTAATATTTATTAGTCATTCTCCAATACCAATATCTGTATATTGTACTCACTGGACTCAAATTACAAACTTGCAGCACTACCAGCAGGAATCTGCGAAGCTGAAGCAGCAGATAACCACCTTGCAGAACTCCAACAGGTTCATTTTTTCCCCAAGTCAGCAACTTAGTTAATCTCAACTTATCAAGCAAGTTCCATTTTGCTTTGTAAATAAACTCTTGCCTACATTGATGCCATAGGACTCTAATAGGCGATACAATGGCCACCATGAGCCACAGAGACCTGAAGCAGCTGGAGGGAAGGCTGGACAAAGGCCTAGGAAAGATTAGAGCAAGAAAGGTTCAGTTTGCTATGAACACTTGCATGAATTCTGTTGAAAAGAACTATTTTGTTTGTCTAGCTCCTGACCTTCACATTTAATCTGCAGAACGAATTACTATGCGCTGAAATTGAGTACATGCAGAGAAGGGTACGTAACACAATAAAACAATAGCGTCTTTTCTTCTTGCAGCTGTTTTCCTTGCTTTGACATTAAAAAATTGAAATTACAAGATGAGCCATATATATTCAGGAAATGGAGCTGCAGAATAACAACTTCTTCTTGAGGGAAAAAGTAAGTACCTAGTATCTCCTACTCCCTCCGTCCGAAAATACTTGTCCAAGGAATGGATGTATCTAGATGTATTTTAGTTCTAGATACATCCATTTATATCTATTTCTATGACAAGTATTTCCGCACGGAGGGAGTATTTACAAAAGACAATGCATGTGACTTACATGAGAACTTTAAACTAATAAGGTACACAAACAGTCCAAGTCACGAACTAATCTCAACGCAGGTAGCTGAGACTGAAAGGGGGCAACAGCAGACGTTGAACATGATGGGGGCGGCTTCGACATCGAATGAGTACGAGCAAAATATGATCCATTGTGATCCGAGAACCTTCCTGCAGTTCAACTTCATGCAGCAGCACCCTCAGTACTGCTCCCAGCAGGAGGACCGAAAAAGTTTCAACTCAGGTAAGATATTCTTCTAGCCTGTACTGTAGGCATGGTTTTCACTTTCGGCTTCAGGAAAAATTCAGCAACAACCGAAATCACCGAAATTCAGTGAAATTTCGGCCAATAATGGACCCAACTATTAATTTGAATACAATTAAATATTAAAAAATGAAAAAATATTTGAATTTTTGTGTATTTCTGAAATACTTTGGCCGAAAGGTAAATATTTCAATGTCTACTGAAATGCCTGAAATTGGTGAATTTCATCGAAATCTCACTGAAATTATGTATGTATATTCATTTAATATAATCTTAATGTTTGCTAATGCATGTGAATAACTGAGCATATTGAAAATTCTAATGGAGAGAGCTAGTTGCTAGATATGCAACATTCAAGTAAAATTTCTGACTCTTAGGTCTCTATGGGCTATACATAGTAGAAACAGGAAAAGTGACACAACCCCAGTCAATAGGAGCACCCAAGTATTGTCACAAAGACGAATATTTATGTGCTTTCGTTAACTATATATAACCGCCTATGTATTTTAATGCTTTAGTGCCCTTGTTTGTCTTTGCAGTTGGAAGGTGATGGATGCATCCATGCATAGCTGTGTCGTCTCTCATTTACCTTCAAGTGAGATTGAAGCTACATATATCCGTGATATATAACTAGAACTTGCATGAATGTGTGTATTTCTATACGCGCACAATCGACTTTATCCTATAATTAAGGCTTGGCCACACCAGTGCAATGTATCCATATGTATTGTGATGGTACTACTTAATTTTCTCAGTGCAACTCAGGTACTCCTTCGCATATATCTATATATGTACCTTTTCTAAATGCAATAGTACTGTTGGCGATTTCATATATCATCCGTTTTATGTATCATATACATATAAGTGAGTTGGTATTTAGATGGCAATAAACTAGGTACCAACGCAAGAATGTAAAAACTTTTAAGCACATACCTAATTAATCGAATGGGGTAGAAGTCCTAACTGAATCAAAGTTTGTCATGGAGGCGGAGTCGAAGTTTTCCTGCGGGGTGGGCATCCTCCGGCGTGGCAGCAGCGCGACCGAGGCGTGCGCTACGAGCCTCCTCCTCCCAAGGCTTTGGCATACCAGTCTGCCGTCTTCTTGACCCCCTCCTCCCAAGGCGTGCGCTACGAGCCTCCGATCACCCGAGCATCTTGAGCTTCTGGTGGTCGATGAAATACCTGTGGTCATTGAATGGAAGGTCGCTGACCGTCCAGATTGCCTTGCTAGGGTTTAGGACGAACAGCCCGCAGATGTGGCGCGTGGCGTCGACAACCGAGTGCTCCCTCGTGGAGTCGTGGTGATGCTGCCTACCTGGCCCGGTGGAGCACAGCGTCGAACGCATGGGATCGCCCCGCATGGCGAGGAGGATGAACTTGGGCATGAGCTTCACCCGGAACTGGTGCGGGCAGTAGACGTTGTTCGTCCGGGTGGTGATGGCCAGGAGCCCGTACGAGTACGCGCAGACCAGGTCGGCCATGGTGGCGGAGTAGGTTGGTCGGCAGTGTTAAATGGGCTTGTTCGTTCCACTCTACTCTCGTATGTTTTCTCGAAAAGGGGATTACCTTAACCTCTGCATCACATGCACACAATCATTTTGTTAAAAAAACATGATTAAAACCAAAATTGCATAGCTCATCCACATAGATTAATCTATGAATAATTCATCAACCAAACTAGTTGAATAAACTCCGCGCAACCATTTACAATTAGTTGCATCTAGAAGCCGTAAGCGCTCACACGTCCACATTTTATGTATAAAGGTGGATTTTATTGACAGGTTCAAAAAAAAGGTGGATTTTATTGACTCAAAGCAAAGCATCAAGTGAATACAACCACAATGATGTACACAACCAACATCAACGCGCGCGCGCACACACACACAAATAAACACGCCGGCAAATAGCAAAGTCATATAAGACAAAAGCTATGCCTGAGCGAGAAAGAAAAATACCTCCAAAACGATCAAAACAACGATTGACAAACCGCACCAACCATCACTTGACACCACAAAGACAACGAGTTTTTTCAACAGCAACGCCTTCAGTAAGGAATGACACTCAAGCGCCGTCGTTACAGGATTCAACAACCAAATGCCAGAATGTAGGTTTTCACCCTGAAGAGCGAGTCCATAGCACATCCAAGCAATGCCTTCAACAAGGTAGCCATGTGAAAACATCCTCATTGGTAGGTATAACCTCATGCCAGACCCAGAGTTTTCACCTCGGAGCTCAAGACTGGATGCTCAAGAAGCACCACCAAATCGAAGTCAATTTTGTGTTGTCGCCACCACTTTTTGACGATCCCAGCAACTAGATGCACTAGGGTAGATATCCACCGCTACTGTTGCACAACCATATCCTTTGCGTCAACCATCGTCCATAGATTGCATCTCATCACTGAAGGTAACTAGTCGAAGTGAGATCCACCAAAACTCACAATGGAGCCTTTTGGCTACATCCCACAACATCGCCGGTAAGAGCCGCCGGAAGCAGCCATGCCTTGTTTATTTCAGTTGTTCACAATGTGATGCTCTATATGTGCAACTATTTATGATGCAGTACATTTTTTATCAATGTCAGTTTTAAACATACTGATAGGAATGCATATATTTGCTTACTGTTAAGCCTGTTATAGCTAGCATATGCATCTTTTAAAGTTTTTTTGTTCTTCGGTTATTTGTAGTTAGCACATGTCCAGTTTCAAATGCTATCTTTGGTTGTTCGTAGTATGCCTTATTTATTACAATTATTCACAACGCGATGTTCAGTATGTGCAAGTATGAACTGTGCAGTTCAATTTCATCAATACTAGTTTCAACAATACCACTATGAATGATTACATTTGGTTCTTGCATTTTGTAGTTAACATGCTTTCCATTTTTATTTAACAATAACCAGTGTACTTAGACTGACACAATATCAGTTTGAATTACTATGTTTAAATGTTAGGCCTGTTGCAGTTAACACACATTTCCACTTGGTTTGCTTTACTAGCGTGCTTAAACCTGCACACTGAAGCTATCTTTTGGAGATTATTTTGTCTGCCATGGATATATTCGGATGACGTTTAGCCTGTTGTGTTTAACATGCATCTCGATGTACTTACATAGGACAATTTTTGGAACGACTATTGTTTTTCATCGAGGTTAGTTTCATCCCATGGCTTATATATACTCACTGTTCAGGATATCGGTAACTGGTATCATATAGGCTGGGGGTTGTTAAGGGACTAATCGGTGAATCGGTCTTTTAACTGAATATATCTGTAACTCATTTAACGTTATGTTAACTAGGGCCATATGTAATATATCTGAGGCTACATAGCAACATGTATTGTACTGAATGTCTAAATATGCAATCGTAGGCTACATAGCAACAAGGAAGAGTGTTACCTTAATGTTCTGGTGATGTCTAGATATACGTAGAAAAGCAGCAACAACAACAACAACACAATCCTATTTGGATGCTCTAACTTAGCCAGGGGTTAGAGTTAGTTTCTAGCTCATGACTAACCCTGAACTAAGTCTAGGCAAAGTGGTGTTTGGATGACAGGGTTAGATTGACAATAAATCCACTAGGAGAACTAGCTCCAATTAGCACCTCTTGGGTGGGATAGTTTTTTTGAGTGGGTTAGATGCAACTAGCTCAAACTAGCCCTCATGTTTGGATATACTTTAGGGCTATTTGAGCATAAATTAGCTCAAACTAACTCTAACCCATGGATATAGCGGCAGTTAATCAGCCGATAATTTGTAAGAATGCAATAAACTCCCTGTGTCCCATAATATAAGATGTTAATTCATCTAATATGTGACCGAGGCAGAGGGGATGTCGTACTACATCATTGTGTAATTGATGTTTAGCTTCTAATATTAACTTGGTACTTTTAGGTACATATGTCATTAGTAAAGATCCGTGCTTCAACCCTTTCTGTGTATGGGCCAATGCGATATTGATGAACCAGCATCAAGTGAGGAAGCTGATAAAGATTGTTAGTAAAATGGGTCAAAAGATGGCAATTAAACTATTTGTTTACACTTTATCTAAGACAACAAAAAACTGCAGGATGATAAGTAAGAGCCCTGCAGCCTTCTTTCTACTGCCCATAATGTGTTGTGTTAGATGAAAATGTCTGAATCGTTTTTCTTTGCAGTGGTTCCCAAAGCAGTTTACTCAAGGTTACCTCTCAAACTACATGATTGGTGGGCATGCAAAGGTTAAACTATTTCTATCAGACCACGATGATTATCTAGATGTGTTGATGAAGACAGTGAAGGATGGGCGGTCAGCCATAACAAGGGGCTGGACTAGAGTTGTGCGTGCCTTCTGCGTGGAGGAGGGCATATTATGGGCATCCGTTTCACCTTGTTCAGCAACCAGAATGTATTTCGCCTCTTTCTTTACCGTCTTTAATAGTACAAATGTACAACCATGGTTCATCATTTTTTATTTGGTGCTTATGTAATTCTTGAACATATGTACCTGTGAATCAAATAATGAATTGGTTGCTTGAACCTGATGGATATGAATAAAGCTATAGCATATATTTAAATTCAAATCCGGTACAATTTGAAACGGCAGCAATTAAATTACGGTGAATTTACACTCCACAGGTCGTTACGGCGCACACGGTCGGTAAAACACAAATGTATGTGATACAAACCATAATCCGACACGTTCACAGAGAGGAAACGTGTGCGAGCATGCACACAGTTGCCGTTTGCAAACCGTGTGTGATGTCAGACAATATCACAAACGGTGCTGGCAAACAAAACGTTTGTGATAGTTGCCTTATCGTATACGGTTTGCAATCATTTACTGTTTCTGATGTGTTACACATGATGTTACGACGGCCCGACGTTTCGCAATCCTGTACGACACTCGTACGACAATTAGCTAATCTTCTTAATTAGTTATAGCACATAGTTCGGGAAAAGTGAATGTGTGTGATTGTCTGCTTATCATACACATTCTATAATCGTGAACCGTTTGTTATGGGCCGTGCATCATAAACAGAGCACCACAGAATACCGACTGCGATGGCAATGCAAGCACAAACGAGTAGGGACAACTGTATGCATCAAGCTTCCCTATCCCCGATGGTTTCTGGGTCATGTGGGAATGACCCCTCTATCACAGTCACTCACTTGGTGACGGTTCAGAACATCGTCGCGGAAAGGGGTTAAAAACCGTTTGTATAGCACCTCATTGTACCAGTGTCTCTTTGTGTTTCAATTACTATCTTTGTCGGCATGGAAGGACGATCATCTATGGGGCAAGGGTGCCCTTTGTGGTTTGGCAAGGGGATGGTCACATTGCACAAATAGCAGAAACTGCAGGGTAGCACGACGATGGACATCTCTCTTATACCCAGGTTCAGGCCGCTTTGCGGCGTAAAAACCCTACTCCTGCTGTGGTGGATTGATCTGGAGGAACACGAATACGCGGCGAGCTCAAGCCCGACAAGGGTGCCTCGGGGAGAGCAGCGCGCACGTACAAGTGTTGATGGATCAAAATGTTTGAACCCTTTGCTAGGTTGCCTCAGGC